CGGATGGAGTTCCTCTATCGAACAGTCAGATGTGCTTGCCAGTTGCACATACGCGTCGGATGTTCAAGCCCGACTACATTTTTCGGTCACAAATGCAAGATGCACTTGTGCGCTGTGCATTCACATTGTTAGGTGTATGCAACTTTTCCCAACGGTGAAGGAACGGCGTCGACGACGCGCCTTACCACGTGACCCGCAGAGCTCCTTGGAGCGGGCAGAATCAGGGCGGTCACCCTTTTCCTATGTTTGTGAGGGTTTTGTAGCGTCCCCGCCGTCCATATTCTGCGAGGCTGCCTTCGAGGCAGCTCTCAATTCAGTTCTGTGTCGTGTCATTACAGTACCGAAAATATCGATGTAAGACGCTCACCGAATGCGTAAATGAGTCAGCATTGCAAAAAATTATCTGTGTTCTTTATCATAAAAGTGGCGTAGATATCCGGCACAATGTTTAAACTGGTTAGATGATGTGATGGTCAGAGGGAAAAAGTTTTCGTTTAACCGGTTTGATAAAATCTGACGGCTGTGTCCTTATTCCTAGTAAATTTGGCGAAAGAAGCACATACTTAAGGCATCAGCATAAAAATAGGCGCGGAGAAATAATGTCCCTATTGAAGGCGAAGCCGCAAGCAGCATCCAGCGAAACCAAGCTTCATGACATATGAGTCATACACACCATTGTTCGTTACTTGTTTCATTGCTTCATTTTGGTGAGATTAACATTCTCACATCCGTCCGCAGTAATCCATACCCTTTCCGCGCGGCTTCGCACGGGCCGGCGCCGCGTGATGCCCGATCCCCTCCAAGCTCTCACTCATTGCCCGTATCCGACAGCTTAGCCAGATCTAGCGTCCCAGCCGCCCAACCCTCACTTGTTTTCTTCCTGTGTTACGTAATGACATGATTTTAACATGCGCTATGACGGTGCACAAGAGGTCACACACGTGGATGTTCCGGCAGCGCACTGGACAACGCTTCGGTGCGATAGCAGTCATTCCCCTAACCTCCCGCAGCGTCCCGACAGCTGCGCTGGTACAATATGGCGTCCAAACGTTTACGAAATTTAGCCTTGCAGCAGACGGTGTCTTACAGGCACCCATTCAATGAGCAGCTAATGACCCTCGTTTCTCCCGACCCGGTGAGTGATACGACGGCATTCGCCACTGCTACCCGCTCATCGTTCGGAAAACCCTCCGTTCTTTGTCGCCCTCAGGGCAGAAACACCCGACTTCCTTTGAGAACGTGTCGTGTATTTTCCGGCTCTCCCGCGCCGGCCGCGGCGGGCGCGGCAGCCCAGTGCCGCATCTCGGCAATACTATTAATCACATCCACACATACGCATGTCACCGTATCTACATTTGTACACATACAGTCAGCCGCGCACCCAGCGAAAGTCGGCGCGCCGACAATCCTATGGACGGCTGCGAGCGGTGAGTTCAATTCACAGAAATGATGAGCGCCCACCGAGACGCGGAGGGAATGTCGATTATTTGATCGCCGAGGTCCTGCCCAGGCGCAGCCCGCCCCGCAGCGGCAGGTCCCAGACCACAGATGACCCCGGCGGGGCGTGTTCGGGGCCGAGGCAGAACGGTCAGAATCGGTGGGACACATCAGAGAGCTTGTCGCCCGAAGAGCTCGTCGAAACACCAGCGACGGCGACGGCCGACGCCGACAACACCCCCGCCCCCTCCCCACCCTCCCTGTGATTGTCGTCACGTGAGAACCAACCCCGCCCGTGTTGGACACGAGCCCCACCCACTGCCCGGCGGCTCGGCACCGCCCCGCCGTCAGTCGAGCGCTCCGACACACATAAACCGCTTCACAAAACACAAACAACACGGCGCGCGCGCACCGCCGATCGGCGCAGCCGCCTCACCGAACAACGGACGGCTTCGCGTCGCGCTTGGCGCCGCCTTTTGCACTGACAAGTTGAGCGGGTACCACCGCCGCCGGCGGCGGCGGGTGTTTATGGCTGGTCGCCGACGGCCGGCGCTCAGGCGCGTCAGCCGTCAGCTGACTGCCGGGCCGGCGCGCCGGCGGGAACGCCGGCAGGCCGAGCGACTTCTGGCGCGCCAGGATCGGCTGGCCGGCGGCCGGGTGCGCCGGCGGCCGCGGCGGCGCCGCCTGCGGCCCGACCGTGGCCGTCTCGTGCCAGGTGCGCGGCCGCGCCGCCGCCGAGCGGCGCAGCAGCCGGTCGTTGAAGAGCGCAGAGATGAGCGGTAGGTCCATGTCACGGCTGGCGGCGCGCAGCCCGTCCATGTCCAGCTCGTCGTCCCGCAGCGCCGGCGCCGGCGCCAGCGGCTGCGCCAGCACCCGCTGCTGCTGCTGCTGCTGCAGCTGCTCCAGCTGCTGGCCAGCCAGCTGTCTGCTGTGCTGCTGCTCCTGCTGCAGCGCTGCTAGTTGCTTTTGCTGCTGCTGCTGTAACTGCTGCTGTTGCTGCTGCAGCAGCTGTTGCTGCTGCTGCTGTATGTACTGCTGGTGCTTCTGCTGCAAGTATTGCTGCTGCTGTTCTACAAATTTCTGCTGTTCCTGTTGTGCATACTGCTGCTGATGTTGCTGCTGCTGTACATACTGCTGTTGTTGCTGTTGAATGTACTGCTGCTGCTGCTGCTGCTGGACACCGGCCTGCAGACTCCTGTTCGGTTGCCCGAGCCCGTGCAGCGCTGCTGCCGTCTGGTGGCTGCTGGCCAGGGCGGCCGGCGACGTTCGCAGCGCGGCGGTCCCGCGCGACGCCGGCGCCTGCTGGCTCATCCGCTCCAGGTGACGCCGGATCAGCTGCTGGTGCTTCAGCAGCGTCTGCTGGCTCACCGTGGCTGCAGACTGCTGCTGCTGATGCTGTTGCTGATGTTGCTGCTGTTGCTGCTGTTGCTGTTGTTGTTGCTGCTGCTGCTGACGCTGCAACATCAGCTGGCTGGGGAGCGTCTGGGACACGCTGTAGTGCTGGGACACCTGGGCTCGTGCCTGTGAAGGTAGGACATATAGTTGGAGGCAATGTACAGGAGGCAGGAGTATCACATGCACGCTATATCAACACACCATCGTAGCTTGCAAGCAAATGCGGCCAACTAAATGCCAACTAAATGATCTTGCCAGCAAATGCAGCCAGCAGCGTAGCTGGGTGAGCGGAGCATGACTGATAGCGTGGAGCTCACATTCCACGCAAACATACAAGCTCGCGCAAGCAGCTCGGCTGGGCCGCAGGACGCGCGCCGGACGACCGGCGACGACAGGCGAGAACGAGCCCGCGCCAGCTCACCTGGCTGTAGGGCGGCGGCGGGCGGCCGTGCAGGGTGCGCGATGCCAGGAAGTCGGCCGACGACGAGAGCAGATTGTCGTCCGACTTGGCGCGCACGACGCCGGCCGGCCGACGGTGGCCGCGCGCCAGCAGCGCCGCGCGGTACAGCTCCACGTCCGAGTAGGGCTCGCAGCTGCCTGACAGGCTGGCCGACGACGGGTACGTGCCGTTGGAGGCCAGCGAGTGGCTGCTGAGGTGGTGTTGTCGCCGGCGCAGCCCGTCCAGCCGGTCCGACACCGAGTACGCCGAGCTGTACGTCTGGTTGAGGCTGGAGGCGCTGGACGCGTGCGTGCTGCCGTACAGCGAAGCGGCCACGGTCGGCGTGCTGCGGTACTGCGAGCTCAACTTGGGCGCGCGGTATGGCGGCGGCGGCGGCAGGCAGCCAGCACCGCCCGCCACCAGGCTGCAGTCCTTGGCGTCCATGTACTCCTGCCGGCTGATGTCCGGGTCCTTGAGCGGGTAGATGACGTAGTCCGAGTCGGAGAGCAGCTGCCGCTGGAACTGCTCGATCTGCGTTTGTGTCACCTGGTTGATGTAAACGGTGGCCAGGCCGGGCCGCGGCACGTCCGCCGCCAGGTCGTACTGCTGCAGGCGCGCCGCCGCTGCCGCCGCCGCCAGGTTGGCGTACACTTGCTGGGCGGCCGGCGCGCCGCCAGCCGTTTCCAGGTTGGCGTAGAGCTGCGGCGCGCCGGCGGTCGGCGCCAGCGCCGGGTGCGACGCGCGCACGTCCAGGTAGTTGTTGCCGCGGATGACAGGCAGCGAGCCGGGCCGCGCCGGCAGCGCCGCGTGCACCGGCTTCGGCTTGACGGGCATGGCGCCGGCCGGCGAGCCGGACTCCAGCCGGCCGACGAAACGCGGCACGCCGCCGGCCGGCAGCCGCGCCCGGGCCCGGCCCAGCGTCAGCTCGGCGAAGCTCGGCGTCTGTGTGACGGCGGCGCTGGCGTGCGCGCGGAACACAGTAATCAGCGGCCGCGTGGTGATGAAGCGCGCCGGCGCCTCGCTGGAGGGCGGCGCCGACGCCGCCGGGACGGAGACGATGCGCGGCGCGTCGGCGGCAGGCGGCCGCGGCGGCGCGCCGACGGTGGGCGGCGCGGCCGGCGCCGGCGGCGGTGGCGGCTCGTCCGCCTCGGCTGTCTGGCACGACTGCGCCAGGCCGACGCGCGTCACCGTCGTCACCGTCGCCATGGAAACGGCCGTGGGCGTCGCCCCCGTCTCGGCGATGCGAAACTGGCCGTGCCTGTCGTACGGCACCTGCACGTAGTCGCTGTCCGTGTCGAACGTGCTGGACACAGTTGTCTTGCGCGGGAACGAGCCGGGCGTCGTGATGACAGAGCCGACCGACGTGTGCGCAGAGTGGACGCTGTAGTCGATGGCCGCCTGGCTGCTGGAGTTGGACGTGGCCGAAGCGCCGCTGCGCACGCTTACATTGTCCGCTGCCGTCGCGTCCTCATCCTCGGCCGACGCCGCCGGCACGCCACCGCCAGCCGCCGCCTTGTAGAACGGCGCGAAGTCGCTGCCGGTGGCGTCGAGCGCCGCGTAGTCCTCGGACAGGTTGTACACGGACGAGTCGGCCGCCAGCGAGGCGGCGTCGTCGCCGTCGTCCAGCGCTCGCGTCGAGTCGGCGGTGCTGGCGGCGCTGACGCCACTCGCCACGCTGCCCTGCGAGAGGTGCTGCAGGCTGAGGCTCTCCGACGCCGCCGAGCTGGACGCCGCGTGGCGCGGCGAATCTCCCTGGCGCGCGTTCAGCGTGCTGCTCGAGTTGACGCTCGCGCCGTCGCTGCCAGCGCTGCCGGCGCCGCACGAGCACCGCTCCTCCGCCTTGGCGGCGCCCTTTCGTGTCCGCGCCCGGCACGCGGCGCACGGGCTGCCCGGGCCGGCCGCCTCGTCACTGCACACCGACACTGTATCGTCCTCCACGCACGTGCTGCAGCAGTTGGCCGGCGACGAGAACATGCCCTTCTGCGCGTGTGCGCAGCCGGACGCCGGCGCGCCGCCGAGCACCGTGTGCACCGCCTGCGCCGGCAGCTTGACTAGGGAGTAGCGGGAGCGGACGGTCGACGCCGAGTGCTGCGACGACGAGCTGTGCACGCTGCCCGTGCGGCTGACGTCCTGGGGCGCCCCGTCGGCGGACGCTGCCGCGGCCGCCGCAGCCGCCGCTGCTGCTGCTGCCGCCGTCGCCGTTGTCGCCAGCGACGGCCGGGAGGAGGTCGCGGTCGCCTGGACGCTGTCAGTGAGACAGCGCGGCGCAGGGATCGTGTCCTCCTCCACTGGAACGAAGTCGGCGCGCCGGTCAGCACGGGGCGGCGAGGAGTCGGCCACGCTGCGCCCGGCACACAGCCAGCACGCAGCCGACTGGTGGGAGCCGCGACGGTGGCGCGGACGCTCGCCAATGCAAGGCAGCCGCAGACGCGGCAGCCAACGACAGCAGGGCGCCGCGATTCTCACGGGAAAGAACAGTTAGTATTGGAAGCTTTTGCAGTTCTCATAACCTTCGCTTTCCTCTCGGCCTGAACCACTCTCACAGCACAGGCCCGCCCTTGCCGCGGCGCGCTGCCGGCGTCGTGACTGACCTGTCGGTGACCTCTGGGAGGAGCGCAGCGAAGCCGAGTCCAGCTGCGAGAGCGAGCGGGTGAGCGAGTCCATGCCGCTCTCCACGGACTCGGCCGGCGGCGAGTTGATCATGATCTCGCTCTGCAGGTCATCTGCAACGTCCGGCGTCACGACTCAGTGAATGGAGCCGGCGCCGGCGAGCGCCGCGCGGCGGACCACGCGTGACTCACGAATGGCGGCCGGCAGCCGCCCCGCCGGACGAGCTCGTCGAGCTCACGGCCGCCGCGAGGGAGCGCCACGCCACGCCCGCCACACGACGGACATTGTTATCGGTTCAGGCGGTGATGGGCGGTGAGGTTCTGCACCTCGCGATGGGCATGCGCTTCCCGCCCCTCGCCGCCTGGCGGTACCCGCTGGCGGAGGGACGCCCGTTCACCCGACTGGCCAGGGCGCACGGAGGCGCTGGGTTCCGCGATACGCGCCGGCCTAAAAGCAAGCTCTTCCGCTTGCCGAGCCTCACCATCGCTTTCGTCGAGACTTTGGACGGTCCGGTCGGAGACGATGCCGGACGTGGTGTTGGACGACGTGTTGGAGATGACGGAGACGCGCTGGTCAGTTGAGCTGCCCGGCTTGCTCAGGTACTCCCAGCCGGAGCGCAGCACGCCGGCGAACTGCAGTGATCCGCCCAGACTCCGCCGCTCTGCCAGACAAGACACCGCCGCGTGACGTCACAGTCCCAGCGCTGCACCGGCGAGCGGCCGGAGCGCGGCACCGACGGGCTTTACGGGTCACAAACCGGCAGCTCTACCGGCCGCCGAGACGCCGCGAGCAGATGGTAAACAGAGGCGCACACCGGCGGGGCGCCGGCGCCCGCCCCGCTGCGAAACACTGTCCGGCGCGTGGGGTGCGCGGTGGCGCCCGCTGGACACTGGGCGTGAGAGCGCTCCTGTGCAGGTGTTGTGTCAGCGATTCGGGAGCCCACGGAAGGCCTCGCGCGCCAGGAGACCGCAGAAATGGCCGGAACCGCGAGACAAGTGAATAATACCATTATGCACGCTTGCCTGGTCCGCTGAGCAATGCCTGTTTGCTTCCAGCGTCCAGCGGCGCACCTGAATAGTCGGCGGCTACATTTACAAGCTGGATTATGTGAAACGGGTTCCTCTCCCTGCTTACGGAAGCACACATCGGTGCCCGTCAACCGTAGCGGTCCAGAACGGAGGTTCCCACATGGGATATCCCGGTGCCATGTTGTCGCCGTTCCCAAAACATCAGATGTCCTTGATGCTGATGAAAACCAGGCGCAGACGGCACCCATTACCAATTGTCATGTTTTGTCATGCAATGACGATTTTCGCTGAACCACAGACTTAAAGGGCTCAGCCCTAATCATAAGGGAAGTGCCGCGTCGGTCGAATTAGCAGGACTTCATGCCAAGAAACAAGTCATGGAAAACGTGCACCGCGTCTGTAAAAATGTCCTGTTACGCGACAAAAGTGTATGTACCCAGGACTTCAGATAAGACGCGTGTCCACCGGATGCCGCTACAAGACCACGAGCCTGTTTGAACAACATGGCGGCCCGCGTCTTGAGTCAGGGTCGCCGGCGTGTGTGTGTCTATGATGGCATCGCAGCTTGCAGACTGCAGCAGGCACGACAAAACCCTGCATGACAACTATACGTCCGCCGCCGGACACGGAGCTGGTCTGCCGCCAGACGCTGGTCGCCGGCCGGTCCTGTGCCATATCTGCACCAGACAGAGGAACACGGCGCAGGCGTGGCAGCCGGCGGCTCGGGGCACCAGTGGGTCGCAAGGTGGACTTTGAGCTCGTGGCGACGAATCGTACGCGAGACTAACGAGTTCACATCGTGCCATGATCGTGATATTGGGGCATTGATTGCCCTGGAGTTTCGTGCCCGGTTGAAGCAGTGAAAACGAAAACAAAACAGTGCCTGGCGCGTATTCGAGGTGACAACAGCACTTAAAACGGCCCGCATCACCGAAAGCTCACCTTCGTATGAATTCTGCTTGATCTCCGCCAGGCGTTCCTTCAGCGACTGCGTGAACATGTGGATCTCCTTGCAGAGCAGGAACAGGTGTTTCGATTTCTCGTCGTGTCCGGTGTAGAAAGTAAACTTCTGGGTGAGCGCTCCAATTTCGAACTTCTTTTTCTGAAACCAGGTCACGGTGATCAGTTGTGGGTTACCACCAGACAGGTACGCTGGTAACAGGTGCGGTTACCACCAGACAGGTACGCTGTGATCCGACTGAATGACACCGGTAAAAACAGCATTCCGACAGACACCTTGGTGTGGCGAGCCGCCAGAGATCGCCCATTGCGATGAAATTCGCCCCGTTTTCACATTACGCTCTTTTTAGATCGTCCCGATAGCTTTCAAGCTCGGTCGTCCGGTAAGGCGGGCTGTTTTTGGGAGAGTTGCCACCCACGCCAAAGCCAGTCCCGGCGCCGGCGTCCACTCGGAGTTCCGCGGAGTGCCGGAGTGCCAGCGGCGCCCCGCACCAATCCCATTCCAACCCGATTCCTGACGGGTCGGAGGCGGAGGCGGAGGCCGTCCCCCGGGCTCGGGTCGTCGGAAGACAAACACCTCGCCCGGCCGCCGGCCCGGCGGAAAAACAGAGGCCGCGGGGCAGCATACCAGACGGGTCATCTGACTGGCCGCCACCCACCGCCGCCCACTCCGGCCCCGACCGAGGCCGCGCGGCCCCGGAGCGAAGGCCGCGTGGCCTCCGGAGCCCAGGCAGTGGGCTGGGCTGACATGGAATGGAGCGGAGTGGAGTGGAGTGAAATGGAGCGGTGTGGAGAGGAGAGGGAAGGAGAAAGGAAGAGACGAGCGTCATCCGGGGGATTAAGGGTCCGCAACAGCCTAGAGCTCCAGTCATAGCTGGGGCGCGAGACCACGCTGACAGGGACTCTTGTCTGCTAGCTGAAGCAACGGCACATGTTGCCGGAGTGACTGCAGACATTCCAGCGCGAGGGCGTCGCGGCTCAGGGACGAAAAACGGCGAGCGCCGGCCCTTTTTACGCCCGGATCTATTTGCCAGGACGGCGGCGCTAAGCGGCACAACAGCGCCGGCCGAGAAAAAGCAAGGCCGCCGGCGCGGCTCCGCTGCCAAAGTCCAGCCGTGTGCGTCTGGGAGCCGACCGTGTGGCCCGCTCAGGGTCCGCCGACGCCATGACCAACAGAGAGCCGGGTGACGGGCCGAAGTCCATCGGCGTGCGTCAGGAACAGCACCCGCGCGCGAGGCAGCAAGCGGTCTCCGCGGGCTGGAGGTGCCCGTAGCCGCCGGCAGGCGATCAACGCAGCTCAGGCCGGAGCGGAGCGTGCAGCGGCCTGCGCCGCCCCGCTGCCCTTGACCAGGGCAAAGGTCGTGCCACGGGGCTGTTTGGTTCTCATGTGGTCGGCTCCTGCGCGGCGAAGCAGCTCGGCACGGTGCGAGCCGCGGCCGAGCCCGTGCGACCGGCGTGCCCCGGTCCAGGCGAGCTCGGCACGGCCGGCTTCCAGGCTCACCGGCGCGCACGTGAAGCGCACGCTGGCAACGACGGTGACTTAGTATGACCTGTGCTGATGAGGTCATCAGGAAAGGACCAACATGCGGCGCTTACGGACCACGCTGCACAAGCAGCATTTACTTGTGAAATGATGATGTCTTCTATGCAGTATGAAACGTTGCCTACCTGGTTTTTCGGCGGAGGAAAGGCTGCGGAGAAGCGAGCGAAACATTACGCCTTTGAGCGCAGTACATCACGGCAAGCCAGTGCCGTCAAGAACGTGCCTGCGGCGTTCCACCTCACCGCACCACCGATCCAGCCCGACGTCCGCTCCGCTCCACCACGGCGCTCCGTTCTCGCCCGCGCGCGCCACGTGGGGCGGCAAGCCACCCTCCGCCCTTCTCGCCTGGCTGCGTGCCGTTATGGACGCGCGCCTCGGCCGAACCGACAACGATGCCGGCGCGCCACCTCGCCGTGAACGCTCCGGTGCGCCGGCTCATGGGCCGCTTCCTCCCTGGCCAGACGCAAGTACGACTGTGCATTCCTGCGTCAAGGTTAGCGGGGCCCAGCCGGCCGGCCGGCCGGTCGACAAAGCCGCGCCGGCCGCCAGCGCCGCCGGGAACTCGTTCGGCCCAACCAGCTGCCCGACTGGTGTTTGATACGAGTCGCGACGGCCGTGCGGAGTCGCCCAGCGACCCTCTGGAAGGCGCAGGCGCCGACTCGGGCCGGGTTCGGCGCTGACGCGCCGAATGCGCACAATTGCCTGGATACAATCGCGGCGCGGCGCAGCGTTCACGCCTCATTGGCCCTCCGGTGATGCGGACAGCGCGGGTCAGGTAAGGCGAGGGCGCTGGCGCGCCGCGGAGCCGGCGTCTCCCGAATCGGAGGTGCGCGCCGAAAGACGCCACCGGGCTGAGAAAAATCGCCAGAGGAGACCAATGTTTTATCTTAGACGGACCAGGGGGAGGTGACAAGTGGACAATACATGGCGAGCTGAATAGTAATGGGAAGAGATGCCAGGGTCACAGATCGGAGGCAGATAGGGGCGAAAAGGTCTCCAGCGATGCTATCTCGGACGGCCGCCTGACGTATGGCACAAAGGAGATGTAAACAAAATACCCCCAGCCTTTTGGGAGCGTGTCAGCGACTTTGGGGCCTTTGTTCGATGTGGCATCGATACGACCGCGCGGACAAAAGCCACTTTTACGAGACGACCGACGACGAAAGCGTGAAGCATGTGATAGCCGTCTGGACGAAACCTGGCCGCCGCCATACCGCAGCTGGCTTGCGCGCCAGCCCTGGCGGCCGGGCGCAGCTTCGGCTAGCGCCGGCCAACGCACGGCGGCCTGCCGGGAGCAGCCAGCCCGGAGGATGGCATTCCTCGCCACTTTACGTGCAGGGCTGCCGGCCGGTCGGCCATGCAGCCGGCGGCGGCCGCCGCGTGACGCCCGCTCGTATTTTACCGGCGCTCGCTGTCGTTTGCAAGTATAACGTCTGGCCGGCGGCGGCGCCGGCCCGCCGGACAAACAGTTAAATTACGACGCTGGCCCGGCCGCCGACGGCGGCGGCGGCGCGGCGGCCGTGGCGCGCGAGCGGCGGTGCTGGCGCGGCGCGGCGGCGCGGCGGCGCGGCGGCGCGGCAAGGCCGCATTCTTGGGCCCGCGCGGCCGCCGTCCTCCAAAGCGCCCGCGCGGCTGGACACCTCCATTCAGGAAAGTTCCCGCTCCGGCGGCGGCGGCGGCGACTGCCGTTTCGGACGGCGCAGCGCCGTGTCGAACGCGCCCAGCGGTCCGACGCGCGAACGCCGCCGTTCTGGGAAGCGGCTGGGAGCGGCCGGCCGTCCGGCTCCATATTTGAATAGCCGGCAGCGGCGCCGCCGGCCGCCCGGCCTCCGTGAGCTATTGGTGCTCGGTAATGGTGCACTATCCGCGAACGCCGCCGCTCCAGCGGGCCGTTCTGCGGCACGGGCCTGCCCCAGCTGGGTTAATCGACCGTGATGGCACGGAGTCCGTTCCGCCGTCGTGCAGCTCACCTCAAACGTCAAGTTGTTGATGTTGGTCCACACGAACGACGCCAGCAGCTTCCGTGCGTTGTTTTTCTCCTCCTGAAACCAGAAGCCGCGTGAGACGCTCTGTCGGCTCACCACCGACCGCATGACGCTTTGACCGCTGCCGACAAGCACGACGCAGAAGCGGCCCGGAGCGCGCTGCTGCGCACAATTAGTGCATATCGCCGATAAGCATGTTGCGAGTTTGACCGCATGTGAGAACAAGCGGCGGCCGCGCGCGGCCGGCACCCCCGGCGCTTTTCATTTCACGGGCCATGATATCAGGCAGCGCGCACAGAGGCCCGCGGCGGGCGCGGCGCAACGCTCCGCGCCGGCAGCGAGGCCCGCACCAAATTAATGGCCTCTCATACAGCTACAATTTCACACCGGCATAGTTTTCCCAGCCTTATGAATTGGTGAGTGAAAGCGTGGACGGTCGCTTGCCGCCGGAGAGCGACGGAGTGCAGGTGGTGGCCGGCGGAGAAGGCCCGTCGCCGCTGCCCGGTCCGCGCTCGGGCTACGGAGAACTGCAGTGGGGCCACGCGCTGCAGTTCCCGATCCGCCGTCCCGGTCCGCAGTTTTGGCTCGCAACGGCTCATTTCTCCGCTCAGATCACGACGGCAACTTAGTCGCTAGCGCTTCCTGCGCCTAGGTCCCGAGGCGCTGCGGAGGGCTACCTGTACGAATTCAGCCCATCCTATTTCAGTCGACCCTCGCGGACAACTGCTCACATATTCAGAAGTCAGGCGTTCAGTGCTCCTCCGAAGGGCACAGCGCTCGTTGCGCTCATGGCTGCTGCGCTCATAGCTCACGTTCACAGCGAGCACGGCGGAGGCCATAGCGGACCCGGGGGAGGCGAGCTCGACCTGCGGCGACCGGCCGACCTCATCGCTCTACTCTGCCGCTGCGCAGGCCATCTGGGGGCGGCCGCACCGCCGGACACCTGTCGCGCGGCATAGTTTCCAAGGTGAGGCGCCCCGCGCCGCTTTGGCAGCTAATAGCGCCGATTGAATGGGGGCGCCTCGAGACGGCCGCCGCAGAGACAAAGGCGGACCACATTCCGATGGGCTCATTACTGCCGGTCGGAGCCGCCCTTTGTTCCCGGCCATGCTGCCGGTAATTGCGCCCGCACCGCTCCGACAGGGCCGTACCCGTCCCCGGCTGCGCGTGAGGAACGGCCGTCCTCGGTGCGGGAGGACGGTTTGATGCGAAGAGGAACTGCTGCGTTACAGATTAGGGACGCTGACATCTATATTTCGTGGCACGCTGACCGTGTTTCTCCCCGTCCTGATGTGCGCAACACGTCGTCCGGTCCGATGGGGGTTAACGTCCCCCCCCCCTCCCCCAGTCCAGCAGGAGCCCGCATCATAACTGGACGCCAGTTTATCGGCGCTTAGCGGAGGCAAGCGTGCGTCTCCCCCTCCCCTCCCGTCCCGTAAGATAGCGCGCAGGAACAGTGATACTCGCAACCAGTTAGCGGACTGCACCGCTCCACGCGGGGAATCGCGATAGCGGGCCAGCCAAACACAGTCCGGCCGACACCAGCGCTGGAGACTGCAACGCCCCCACACCATAGCATCGAGGAGCTCGACACGCCACGAATCACTAACACTACGACCCATGACGACGAATAAGCACCGTTGCGACAAACCATAATCGGATCCTAATTTACTGCCTTTTTACTACGACCATCTCACGCGTGCGCTAATTGTAAGCCCGTCGCGGCGCGGCGCCTATTCACAGCTCGCCGGCCGGCCGCGGCCGCTACCCGCGATGGCGGTCGGCCGCCGCGGCCGCTACTCGCGATGGCGGTCGGCCGCTGCAGCTCCGCGCGCCATGCGCGGAACTGGCACGGCCGCCGCCCGCGGCGGCCACGTCACGGAGCGCGCGACAAAGGCGGCGCACGTAGCACGGTAGCCGGCGCGGCGTGCCGCCGGCGCCGGCTCCGGCTCCGGCTCCGGCCCCGGCCCCGGCTTTGGCAGCGGCGCGCGGCCGGAGACGAAGTCGCGACCGGAGGCACGTGCTGGTCACCGCAGCGGTGCTTCGGCGCCGCAGGTTGGAGCGTGGAATGGCGGGCAGCGCGGAGCGGCGCACGGCCCACCCGCGCACTGGTCAGGAAGTGGAGCGCATGGCGACGCCCAAGCACCACGCACGGGAATGTGCGAGGTGACGAAAGCACAATGAAGCCGGCGGTGCTGCCCAGATACCAGCCGATACATGGGACTCCAGTGAGCATGCATACCGTGTGGCTCGAGCCTGCGGGACAGGAACACCACCCGGGCCCGCAGCCGGCGGGAAGCACCGGCCGAGCACATGATGGCCGGCGATATCGTGCAACCCGGCGGCCACTCTCACCACTCGAGTTTGTTAGCGTTCGTAATTAGCACTGCGAGGGCATCCCTGCGGGTTTTACCGCCGGCCTGAGCGCCCATGTCTCGTCCGGAGAGGTTTACGGCCGTTTGGGAGCGGCTGTCTGGTAAACAAGATTGACGCCCGGCGAATCGCGTCACAGCAACTCCGGCGCTTACGGTCGATGTCTGTTTACAAGCCGTTACGGCGAGGGCAGCGGCGGCGGGGCTGGCGCTAGCACTTGTCGCTGCGGGCGCCGATGCATTGCGGGGTGTTGTGCAGGCGGGGGCTAAACAAGCCAGAGGCCTGTTAAATCGGCAGCACCGGCGAAGACTGCCCACAACTGCTTCCAATTACGGACACTATGTGGGTCAATTACTTCACGGCTAACCAAGCCCAATGACATCAATTACTACTAGCCTCGTATTTAGGGCCTACAATGCCGCTTCCGCGCCGTGCAGACCCCACACCGGCACCACTTTAACGCAGGTGAAGAGCGTTGTCTTCTATGCTGCCCACGCACGTCGTGCTACGCTTCTCAGGCGGAAACGCTCCGCTTTCGCAATGGGTCGACTGGACAACAGAATCAGCTAGACAGTCCCCCGAAGCGCCCTGTATTCAATGCCGCTCAAGCGCGCTCGCTTGACGCCTCTTGGGTTTGTTACCATGCTCGTCGAAAGAGCAGCCGAGTGACGTCTTTCGCGGCAAAACTCCGCCGCCGACCGTACCTCATAAAGTTCGATGCCGTTGGGGCAGATGCCGAGCAGGATAGAGCCGGAAGGCTCAGATTTCCGCCGCTTGAGTCGGTAGAGGTGCAGGTTGTGGGGCGCCTCCATCGCAGACGCCTCCTTGATGTAGGCTAGCTCCGCCTCCGTCTTCGGCATGTCCATGTTGTCGCGGTGAAGCGGCGGCGTGTGGTCCAGGATGTAGTCGACGCCCACCTTGGTGATCAGCTGCGACAGAGCCCGGCGGCGTCAGACGGTGGCACGTGGTGCCAGGCAGGGTACGGGGGCTCAGACAGCGGCACAGGGAGTCAGGCAGTCACGGCAGTCACATGACGTTACGCAAAGTTCGACAGAGTACGGTAAGGCTTCGTAAAGGCCAAGTGAGATAGTGTAATAGGCGGCAACATTAAGTAAGATGTGTCAGAGGGAAAGCAATATCATGTCGAAGTAAGGAAGTCACAAACAAAGGACATAAATATCAAGCAAAGCGCGAAAAAAGTGGGACAGTTTTGACCAAAACTAAGACGCCAAAAACCATGAGATATGGAAACAGGAAATGTCCTGTCTCTGTCCGGAGGGTCCAGGGCGCGATTTGCTGACATCTCTCTGGGACCAGGGCAAGGCGCAGCCATGGACCTCACGGTAGCCGGCGTTCTCATGCGAGCTGCCGTGCCTTACGCTTATTAACGTCACCCTTGCTGACCCCATTTTTGTGACGTCACCTTGGTACCCGGTGACCCGTGGCTGAGCTAAAGTGAAAACTACACCCTGCACTCCCGGCAAGAGAGGGGGGGGGGGGGGGCAAGCTTTACGACTGGGAGCAATCATGTACACGGATGGTCACCTGCGAACGGCGCATTCGGTCCGGCGCTCGCTGCACCCCGTGTGAGCCCTTCCGCACTTTGCGGTCAGTGTACGGCCAGTCTGGCCGGCTGGTCGCTCAGGGACGGGCCGGGTCCCAGCGGGCCAGCGGCCGGCGGTGAGTTACCACCCCACACGCAGCGGTGGGCATGTTGTCGTAGGTTGGTGGGCTATCACTCGCCCGCGGACGGTTCGGCTCCGCGGCGAGCTGGCCACAGCGGGACAGTGGGACGGAAGCGTTAAGCGAGAAGCCCAATAAAGCGTGTCGCCGGTGATTTCAGAATGAGTCGACTGAGTAGCGTGTCAACACTGACACTGAGAGTTTCAGGAAGTGGCCAAGTGCTCGGTAATACTGCATGTATTTCATGAAAAATTCAAGGACTTACATTTTCTTTCGTTGGCGAAGAAATAAAAGTGCTTATCTTGATCATTCCCTAGGCACTATAAATGCGAGGTTCGAAGTTCGTAAACTGTACAAGTGTATATGCAAATTTATATCGGTTTGATAGCATACAAGAGACTTTGGTTATGTGAGCATGATGGTGCTGTAGTATCATGCATATTGTGGCGACGTAGGATGACACACGCCCGGCGGCAAACTAATCTGCCGGATAGTTAAGGGATTCGCGAAAAAATATGTTTTATATGTGTGTTATACCATGCAACTTAATATCAAAGCAGACGCATGCACAGATATCGCAGATGACAGAAAATCACAAAAGAGCTAACTTTTCTGGACCCAGCCAGGAGATCCGAACGCGAGGTGACCCTGTCGATCGCCTAATGTTTGTCGCCGTCCGGTCCCAATGATGGTCGGCCTCCGATTCAACGCCACTTGCCCGGCCAAACCAGACGCAAGCCGGGGACCTGCGCTGCGCTCAGAAAACGTGCAGAGCCGCGATCCAGCAGCTGTACCATAGTCCGACAGACTGCGGACGTGACGCGCCCGCCGCGCCCCCTCCCCGCCCGCAGGCGGCGCCGCTCACAGGCGCACGTCGGTCGCACAGCCGGTCACGTGACGCGCCGTCACTAGCCGCTGATGAGGCCGTCAATGAAGCGCGCCGTGTGAGAAACACAAGCGCCGCCACCCGGACGGCCGCCGCCGGCGGATGTGTGCGGTCGCCGCATTAATTAAACACGAGCAGCGCTCGTGTGGCCGCGTTCGATCGCGCCGCGCGCGCTCGGCCCAGCCGTGGGGACGCGGCCGCCGGCGGGCGGAACGGGCCGGCGGCACGACCCGACGCCGCCCGCGGCTCCCGCCAGCGCACCGACGACGCTCGCCACCGGCGCTCGTCTCCGCCCCGGTGGGAACGCGCTGATTCGGCGCCCAGGCGGACCGTGCACATCCGTACACAAAGTGCAGACAACCGCAACTGATTTATCTGGTGGGAATACTGTGAAAACTGCGCAGTTGTAAACATTGCTGAATACACCTGTCCGTCCGGCAAGCGTGCACTGAATCGCGGTGTTATGTAATGTGCAGGTCTCACAGACGTGCTGGTCACCATGACTTGACAACGCATAAATCCTGCCACCCGGACCCTCGTCTGCAGTTGCCTGAGCTTCGTGTATGACTAACCGGACTATCATTTCGGTTCATCTACTTTAACCCTGAATAAAAAGGCGCCAAATCCGCAACCTTCCAGTTTTTGGCCTAGGTTCGGGGACATGTTTCGGCCCATCCCTTGCTCCTCCTGCACCAAAACACAGAAACTTCACTGCGCCGACTACTCACCCATTTGGGGAAGTACTCGGCCGGCTGGAAGTAAGCCCTGCCGGCGCCCTCGCGGTAGTTGCCGACGTCGGCCTGGAGCGCCCAGGCGGCCAGCAGCAGGCACGTCTCCTGACCGCACATCTGGCGGTGCACCAGCACGTTCTCCCGCAGCTGAAGGTAGTAGTGGTGTCGGCTGACCCGGTCCCTGCAAGGACACATGTACAGGGTTAGCTCACACGGTGGTGCCGGATTATGCCGTCCCTGGAGGGACACACAGGGGTGCCGGGTGATGCCGTCCCTGGAGGGACACGCAGGGGGTTCGGGTGATGCCGTCCCCGGAGGGACACGTAAGGGGGTCGGGTGATGCCGTCTCCGGAAGCCGTCCCTGGAGGGACACACTGGGGTGTCGGGTGATGCCGTCTCTGGAAGCACACACAGAGAGTGTCGCATCCCACAGTGGCGCCCATGGCTCCGTCTCCAGACCAGCAGGCGGGGAGGGTTCCCTCACACGCAGCGGTGCAGGCTGATCCACCCGTTGCCTCAAGGGAGGGGAGAGCGTCGGCTACCCCAAGGGGAGGTCTGGCCCCTGGAGGGTCCGACGTCGCAGAACTGAAGCCAGACGGGTGAAGCACGCGGATGTGGAGCCGCCGGGCTCAAGCTGCAAGTCGCGCTGAGTTGCACCGGTGGCTGGGTTGCGGTGCAGCGTGGGAAGGTGGGAGAGGAAAGGGCTGGAGGAGCACGGGGGCACAAATTAGCATCGCCCCGAATGTGTTAACAGTGAAATAGCCTGGCATCGGGTGCGCAATTATCTCAGGAGCTGGCACGCCCGAAAGCCACCAAAAACAAGGAAGCGAATGCAGCACCTAAGAACAACCCCGTCCCATCCCCAACCCTCCTGGCACCATGACTGAACGCGCACTCTAAACACCGTGATGTCCTAGATTTCGACACGTCCTGATTTCTTCAGCAAGGAAGTTGAAAAACGACATGAGGCTGACGGGGTGTCCGTTAAAACACCGTGACCTTGTTGCCCCGTAAAGTCGGGCGCGGACGGCGCTGGGGCCGAGTGACTGCGCCCATCCGCAAGCCGGCCGGGCAGCGCGTGCCGGTGTACCGCCGCGTCAGACTACACACGACGTCCATCCGTCGCGGCGCGTTCGCAGTGCGCCGACGGCAGCTGGGAGGGGCTGCCCGCGACCGGCGGCGCCGCTCAGCACGCACGCGCCCGGCGACAGCGCTGTCTCCGGGCGGCCGGGCGGCCGGGTGGGCCGGCCACGACCGGCTGCCGTGCCTGCATGGGCAGGAGCGCGCGGCACGTCCGCCCGGCTGCAGGCGCCGGCCAGCGCCCGGCACGAAGGCCGCGGCCGCAGCCGCCGGCGCCAGCAGCGCGGTCGACGCGCGGAGGACGCCGCCGCGCCGCGCCGCCTGGCGCCGCCCCTGGCCGGCCCTGAGCGCAGGGGCGTGCAGCGCGCGGTCGGTGCTGGGGGCGCGGCCGTCGGCACACGCCGCCGCGGCCGGTGCACCGACCGCGCGCCGGCCGAGAGGCGCCGCCGGGACCGTCCCACGGCGGCCGACCGGCCAGCGCCTGCCGCCGCTTCCGGCATGCTCGGCCTGGAGAGGAGGTGGGGGGGGGGGGGGAAGGGGGGAGATTTCAGGGAGGACGCAGGGAGCACCCGGAGAGGGGGGCGGGGGTGGACCGCGGACGAGGAGAGCGATGGAGTGAAGAGAGGAAAGGGAAAATGCAGGCAAGGCGAGATTAACACAAAGGATACGCGACGCGGGGCGTGATAAGGATGCACAAGGTGGGGTGCAGCAGCGCAAGCAAGCCAGCGCGAACATTCCGTCGCGCCGGACACGACGGCGCAAGGAGAGCATCGGCAGACACTATGGCCAGCGGCGCAGTCCCCGCGACCGCTGGCAGCACCGGGACCACAGCAGCGACCACGTCAGCAGGCTGGCGGCCCATAGGCGCCGGCAGCGGCGGTCATCACAGCGGGGGGTCTGCGTACGGGTGATGGCGAGAGGCCTCACCTAAGAAGAAGGTGGCAGTCCACGTAGAACTTGACCCGCAAACCGAACTGAAGGAGCGGCCGGCTCGAGCCGTCCAGGCCCTGCGAACACAGGGGTTCGTGAAACACTGGAACACACTGCTAGCCGCCTGCGCCGCCAGCGTCAAGTTCAGCTTGGTGGCGTCCGGCGGCCCCGCCGCCCCAGCGCGGGCCCCTCGGCGCGGCGTCCGGACGCGCGGCCACTCCCGACGGCCGGCGCCGCGGCGCCATCGGATCAGGCGCGCCACGACCGCCGACAGCGCGGCCTTGTGTCGCCCGCCTGTTTTTACGCTCGGTCAAACGGCCGGGCGGTGCCGGCCGCGATGGCAACACGAAACGAGGCGGCGGCAGACGGCGCTCAGAGGCCAGCGCAAATCACGCCCAGCGATGAGAAAGCTCGCGACTATCGCACACATCGTGTCTGGCCGACCGGCCGGCTGCACCTCCGCCGGAGAGCGCGGCTGGAGCAGCTGCGGCTCTCGCTGGAAAACGAACTGTTCTAGTTGAGCTGCTGCTACAGCTACAGACAGAGAGACGGCGGGGGCTGAGTAGTCAGCGACTCAGCGTGACACGCGAGTCCAGACAATGACGGCAGGGGGGGGGGGGGGGGCGGCAAGGTGACAGGGTAAAGTGTCATCTGTTGCCGTCCACAAGTGCGGCAGCCTTATCACGTGCTTCACCGATTTTCCATGTCGGGAAGCATTGCATGCCTTAGCGGGGCTTGTACGGGTGACGTCAATGCGTTCATACACCGAGGCCACTGAGGTGAGGTAATGGTGGTCGAACGCCACATCAGGTACTGCAAGTTTGACTCATGCCGTTTGTAAACATCAGGATTTATCGCTGCTGACATGCGACAGGATGTCGGCCGAATTATATCACGTCGCACTGTACACCAGGCATCTACACGTGCCAGAGGTCCACGGACCCGTCACTGTCAGCCATGTGTCCATTGTGTCCTGGCGTGCGCCCTCAATGATGAATTCCGGGGAGCAGACTATTTCTATCGACAAACACCGCATCACGTCCACCACAGCCGTGGCGCCACTCCGTGCCGGCCACGAACTGGACCGCACGTGAGCTGGTTTCGCCCTGGACTGCAAGCAAAGGCGCAGATCGACGGTTTTGGCAACGAAAACAGAGCGGTTGAGGTTTGCAAACCAGACAGAACAGAGACATATGTTATCAAAGATCATGTATTGGGTAAGATCAATGCCGTCTGACAGGCTACACAATCGCCATTACACTTTAGAACAATGGTTCCGCGCGACAGAGGAAAGTGAGGAAAGTAAAAGGTCTACCTTTCAGAAACTTTGACCGCAATCCTGGGTGGCTATCGCACGCGGCCACCGTCCTATCGCGCACGGCCGACGTCCTGTCGCGCACAACCAACGTCCTATCGCGCGCGGCCAACGTCATATCGCGCACGGCCAACGTCCTATCGCGTACGACCAACGTCCTATCGCGCGCGGCCAACGTCCTATCGCGCACGACCGTCGTCCCACCATCAGCAGCCACAACAATGGCCGCTGGCGATTGCGATCAACGAGCCGGCCGGCCGGCCGCCACTGGCCGCCGCCACCGGCCGCGTGTGGACAACGAAGGACAGATGCGCGGTGGAATGCCACCGGAGCGAAAATGTCTGCCGCTGCCACCAGCGGGCACGTGGGAACTGACATCGGCGAGCTTCTGAAGCCAGCCCAGACTATGCTCAAGGTGTGGAGAACACACCTTGATACCTGCGGCTATATGTTAGCCTGGCATTCGCTCTTACTGTGCGGGTGGATAGGTGCTGATAGTACGATACAGCGCAGCCGTAATGTGCGCGCGAGAAAACTGGTCGGTAGAACGCACCTGCCCACTTACTTTTGTTTCTTTGCACGTGTGTACTATTCACTTTTGCACAAGGGTTTGCACTTGCGTTTCGGCGCGGCAAACAGGGACACAGAGCCGAAGCAGACGTCGCACATGCGAGCTATCCCCGTCGCGCTGGCCGTTGGGTCTCACTTGGTCACTCCGTTTCCAGGTCAGCAGAGACCTTGTGGCTACACCAGCCACGTGTGTGAAGAGGTCGTCCACCGCCGTGGACACTAATGGACCAGCGTACCTCCGATGCAGCCCGTTGTGAAGCGCTGGCGGTGATGTGGTTTTCTCTCTTCTTCGAGAGTGGGTGAGCCGCGCGTACACCACGTTTCTCTGCTGACGAGCTCAGTCAGCAGTGAATACCGGCCGTGAATCCACAAACTGCTGTACGGTTCGGCTTCACGCACTTTGTCTTCTCGTGCGAATGCACCACCGGCATCGTTCACCACCGGTTCTGATCACGACTTGTTCTTGCCATGTTGCCATGCCACGAATGCCGCGCCAACAAGCACGACCAAAAGGAGGCTTCGCAACATTAGACTGTGGCTCCCTGCAGCACCTGTCCGGTGACCGACCCAGGCCTGTCGGTTTTGTTCCTAAGCTCCCGAAAACAAAAGCTGATAGGATAAGGCTTTCCGCGACTATCCACGGGATAAAATCGTAGTGCCTCGCCGCGGTTGACTGTACAAGTCAGTCACCAGAAATGTGAAGCCGGTTCCTACGCGCAGTTCAACCGTGACATTCTACCATGGATTCTAGCAGCAAAGCTGTTTGACACTAATGCCTGTGTGGTCCACTTTCGACAGCACTGTTGCTTCTCGCGGCGGTCAACACACGAGGACTTGCCTAAGGACTTGACCGGTGGCCCTGGCTCAGGCTCTTTCAGACACATGCTTCGCTGGCGTCGCGATCCCAACGGACTGAGGTTCGGCAGATAATTCCACACGAGCCCGATCTGTCCCGACTCCCCGAACTCTGCCCTGACTCTCGAAGTTTGCACTGACTTCCAAACTCTGCCCCAACTCCCAAACTCTGCCCTGATTCCCAAACTCTGCCTTGACTCCCCGGACTGTGCCCTGACTCCCCGAAGTCTGCCCTGACTACACGAATTAAGCCCTGACTCTACAAACCCACCCCTGACTCCCCAAACTCTGCTCTGACTTCCTAAATTCTTCCCTGGCTCGCACGCCCATCCCCAGCCCGGAGAGTCGTACGGGATCGCGGGGCCCGCTGCTCTCCACGCCGCCTTTTGGCGTTCGCCGCCGCCGGCCGGCGGCACCGCGCTGTCCCGTCGTCAGGAATGCCGCCGGGCTGGCCGGGCCGGCGCCGGCGGCGGCCGTGTAATCCGCCGACCGGCCCGTCCTGCGAGAATGCGCCGCTCGTCCCGGCTACGGCCGGCCGGTCCCCTGGGCCCCAGCCGGCCCGCTCGGCCACGGCCGGCCCGCCCGGCCACGGCCGGCCCGCTCGGCCACGGCCGGCCCGCCCAGCCACGCCGGCCCGCTCGGCCACGGCCAGTCCGCTCGGCTCCGGTCGTCGGATGCCGCGCTGTCCGCATCGCCCGGGTCGCGGCCGGCGGTCAGTGATGACCGGGCTGTTGTGGGGCGTCGGGGAGGGGGGGGGGGGGGGACGGAGAAGTGCGGGATGCGAGAGGCGGAGAGGCCGGCCACGGTCGGGCACTTACATCTCCATGCGATGACTTCCATGCTTTCGGAGCGTACTTCGATATCTTGTTGTCTGGATCCACGAACACATATTCTCCATCTGAGAACAGACAAAAACATCATGTCTCTTGGTGCAGGAACAAGCGGATCAAGAGCGAAAAAGTTTGCTGACTTCATAATCCCCCAATCTCCCGGCCACAAACCCGCCCGCACCTTTTCCCTGGCGCCACCTCCCGACCCACCCACTGCCCAGCGGGCGACGGCGCGCGCAGCAGGAGTTCGGCACCCAACGACGCTTGGCACGTGGGCCTGACAAACGCCAACCGCTCCACTGCGCCCCTCGCGCCATTGTCCCGCTCTCGACCTTGTGAAAAACCGCGCGCCCTCCGAGACACCGTCCGCCGCGCCCAGAAGCCCATCGGCATTCGTCATGCCGCGAAAGGGCGCGCTTTTTTACGCGGTCGAGCGTTCCGTCACCGCTCCTGACGCCGGCATTGTTTGGAGAAAGCCCCGAGGCCGGTGCCGTCCGCTCCAGCCACTGCGCATTTTTGCCGCCGCGCGGCAGCACCAGCGCCGGTCAGCGCGCGTCCGTCCATGGCCGGAGAATGCGGCGAACGGGCGCGAACGCCGCGGCGGCGGGAGGCCCGCGCTCGCGGCGCCGCCGCCGGCCGCCGCGCACTTGTTTACTCGCCGCGCGGAGAGGGTAGGCAGCGACGGGCGCGTGCCTTTGAGAGGGTTCCGTGCTACTGTGCGCCGGCGAGCAATGATCAGAGTCCGGTCACCGTCCCGAACCGTTTGCCGTTTTTAAGAGCGCGGTCAAGAACCGGTCTTGAGGTGCGACCGCGGTCCAGATTAAGCGCCGCATGGCCGAGGGATACGCTGCCGTCTCGTCACGATTCGGCCCGATTGACGGCGCATTAGCGGACGATAGGAGCAAAAACCGCGCAGCCACACCGGACGTGGACCGGTCTCGCCTTCCACGGGGAGAATGACTGGCGCCGAGGCCATCGACCCGGGACACAACCCCGAGGCAAAAACGCCTCGTCCGAATTATTAGAGCGCCTTCTCGATAAATCACCGGCGAGGGGGGGGGGGGCAAAAACACGTGCGAGGGTGGCGTCTGCTCGCGACGCCCCGTCTGCAGGGTCGGCAGTTGCCCGGCCTGCTAACCGGACCGAAGGGCCGCCTCACCCCCGCCGGAGGTGCGAGACCGGCTGACGCGGGCGGATGGTCTGGCCGGCCGCCGGGCCTCCGCCAACCGGGTCAGGGATGCACGTGGCGGACGGCAGCCTCACGCGTCACGTGACGAACAGCGGCCTCGTGCGTCACGTGCCACCACCCAACGGCGCGTGCCGCGGCGGCAGAAGCATCAGCCAGGCGAAGATGGGCAAAGACCCCGTCAACACACCCAAGCCATCACTTGGGTCGCAGCGCATGGTGGCTGGCGGCGCGTGCTATCAATAGGCAACACCGGACGACTGATACAAGTCAGTTATCAGCCGCCACGAAGCCCGGTCCCCCGGAGGCCTCTGTTCTGAGGTGACCTCTGGCCTCTGCAGAAGGCCTCTGCTCTGAAGGGCCCCGCCGGACGCCTCTGCTCTGGGGTGGCCTCTGGCCGCTGGAGGACACCCTGCTCTGAGGAGGCCCGCTGGAGGCCTCTGCTCCGAGGTGACCTCCGCTCTGAGGGGTCCACCGGAGGCCTTTACCCTGAGGTGGCCTCTGGCCTCTGGATGAGGCCTCTGCCCTGCGGTGGCCTCTGGATGGGGCCTGTGCCCTGAGAAGGCCCGCTAGAGGCCTCCCACGGCAGCAGGCGATCTCTGGTGGGCCGAACCACCGAGGCTCTGGCTCTCGTCGGCGGCAGGTGCACGGATGCCGCGTGCGATCGGCGCTCGATATGCTTAACCGCCGCGGAATTTTCCTGCATACCGGGTGATGTTCGCCGATTAGCCGGCTGTCCCAGACAATCCGTGCAGAGCCAGCGGCCCTGGCCGCTCGCCCGTATTTGGCTGGTTTAGATTCACGATGCTGGTTCATGCTCGTACACGAGCGGTTTGCTCGAGCAGGATGTCTTCCAGGATTGCCCGAGACGCTTACGAGCGCATGAGTAGTAGAAACCACGTGCACGACACCAAGCCGGGATACCCCGAGAGCGGTTCTGCACCGAGGTTCGGGACGCGACCCCGGAGGTGGAAGAGTTGATAGCTGGACATAGTGGAACAGCCGAAACAGAAACATCCGCGCCAGAGGCCGCGGACGCAACTGCCAAGGTTTCACAGCCACGGCCTCAAGCCTCGTCTTAAACAGAAGTCATGCTGCAACGTCAAATCGCAGTTCATGTGGCTATTAACTCCTGCACAGCGCCTGCGGTTGAGAAGGCATCGATCATGCAAAACGTGTGTCAAACACGCCAGGAAACAAACGGGTGGCACAACCGTCCGTAATGCAAACGGGCACTGCAAGCACGACTGGCAGCGCTGGTTAGTGGACGACGTGCCGTTCTCTGTGGCGCCCTGACACAAGGCTCTGTGGCGCCCGGACACAAGATGGCCCCCGACCTCGACCCCTCCCGACTCTTCCCTCCGCGCACACCAGTCGTTCTCGCTGCGTCCGGTCGACTCACCTATCGGTATCGCCAATCCGAACAGGGCCGGGTCCTGCAGGCCCTGGTTACACATCCGGTCGCACACCTTGGCATACAGCTCCGACAACTTGCACTTTGTCTGAAACGGGGCCAGCGCGCGGTCAGCGCGCTGCGGGCGGAGCGGCAGCGGCGTGCCGCAAGGATGCGTCGTCGGCGTCGTGCGGTAGTCAGGCCGGCGCTTAACGTGCAATGGCGCAACTAATGCAGAATGGGAGACACGGGGGCAGGAACGGCGTTTAAGGGAGGCGCAGACGGCAGAGGGTACAGCTGACCCCTAACTTTGGAAAGCATTAACACTTGGCGTTGCGTGAGAAAAAATGGCCTACACAGGCTTTGCCTCTAGCCACCATGCGAGGGTCCCGCCGCCACTGGCAGTACTGTTACGGAACGCCTGCTTAAATGTCGGCACGGGGGACGGCAGGCGGGGTTGGGACTATTCACGAAATCATTGGAGTCACTGCAATGAGTCACGACACTTGAACCCCGACATTCCAACACCGATAGCGGAATAGTACATCACTGCTGTTAGTATTGGTCTCCGCTGAAATCAGCTAGGGGCATCCTCCTTTGTCTGGTAGCATGACAGTCACGAACATGGAACCTGTGAGCGCCTTCTGAGGATCGCATTTGCCCCGCACGGCAACGAGGGACGGCCGGGCTCCATGACTCGCCGCCATTAAGCCGTCGTAAATCGCGCCGCGCCGGTGCCACGTTGGGCCCCTCGTGGCACGTGCTGTCGCGCGTTGTCAACACACCCGGCGCGGAGCCCCGACCGACTCCGAGCCGGCGTCAGCGCCGAACTACGCCCTCGCGCGAGCGCTCCGAGTGCCGACAGCCGAGCTGATGACGCGAGACCCTCATGCCGAGACCCCGCCCGCGTTCCGCCGGTCGCGTGCGAGCGGCGCATTTCCGCGGGCGACCGGCAAGCCCCGAGGAACCGGCGGCCCCGGCTGCGCGGTCCGACCGAGCCGTGGCCCGGCCCGGAGTGGGAACGGCGCCGTGGTCCGCACGCTATGAGACGGGCCCCAGCGAGCTCCGCGCGCTATGAGACGGGCCCGGCGAGCTCGGCATTCGGACCGTTCCCGGGACAGGTTTGGCGCCGGCTCCGATCATCGGTCTCGGGTCCGAGACCGCGGAATCTGGGTGGAGATCCAACAGGAAGGTGGCGCAGTCCACGTCAGGCGGCGGGGGAGGTCTGTCTGGGACGCTGCAAACCGGGCGTCCCAGACGCTCGCGGCATGCCGGCGCCTCCCGTCCAGAAATGTCGCGCACGGGTAAAAATGTCAGCTTTTCCTCGAGAGCTTTGGGAAACTAACGAGCCTGCCGACATTTTGCAAGCCCATCAGAGCCTTAGAAGGCGAGCTACGCACCTGACAAACGTGGTGCATCCCGCGCTCCAGGCGCTTTCCGAAACAAGCCGGCCTTATCGCCCCGACCGGCGGAATGAGTCCGGACACGCTGCCAGATGCCGGGCCGCCATTGACTCATGCTGACCATCGCGGCATATCCGCCGTCCGAGCAAGCCGGCCGCGCCGACCGCCGAGGCCGCGGCGGTCGCGTCCGGACCGCCTGAGTAATTGTCGCGGCACGCGGGTGTGGTGCGCGCTGCCATTCATCGGCGCGTCTCGCCGAGATGGCGGTCCGCGCGCCTAATGCCACCGCCGGCCTGGCGCTAATGACACGGCTCGGCGGCCGCCGCGACCCGACCAATGACAGGTAATGACACGGACGGCGGCGAGCGGCGACAGCGCGTCGGCGGCCGAGGCGGAGGCCGAGACGTCCGCTGACTCCCTTGTGGAGCGGGGCGGACGGACGAGGGCGGCCGGCGACGGGGAGCGGCCGGCGGGTGGATTACCGTGGGGGCGTGCGGGTAAGAGGGGATGGAGCCGGAAGGAGACGCGAGGGACGGACAGCGGCGAAGGTGGGACGCCATGGCAAGGCACACGTCGAGAGGCAGACGTCGCGGAAGGACGGAAGCCTAGCGCACCGCCAGGCGAAATAGATAACGGCGATGCCACCGCGTAAGATGAGCATGCGCGGAAAAACGTGAACTGAAAACAGTACTTGAAACAGGACTAAGACAAAGCCCGTTGGATGCGGGGTAAAATGTGGCACCCGGGCAATGCAGACAATTGGGTACATACGCCAGCGGTTCGAGCGTCCATACCAGCCGACTAACCAGAATGAATGGACTTCGATGGAGCAGATGTAGAGTGACACGCGCGTCACCTGATGACGGAGGTCAACACGCGACGAAGATAAATAACAGCGACAGGCGAGGTGGGGGGACGCAGCCAAGGGGTTGGCGAGAGGCGCCAGGGGGCAGACACTGCGACCAGATAAAGAGCAGTGTGGACAAAGGCCGCGTAGAGACGAGAAGGCGGAGAGGACACCGTTGTGGAGATAAGATGGAGTTTCCGGGACCGATGGAGATTGAGTGCAGAGAGAGACGAGAAGAGAAGAGAAGAGAAGAGAAGAGAAGAGAAGAGAAGAGAAGAGAGAGAGAGAGAGAGAGAGAGAGAGAGAGAGAGAGAGAGAGAAGAGGAGAGAGATAGAGAGAGGAGAGAGAGAGAGGAGAGAGAGAGAGAGAGAAGAGAGAGAGAGAGAAGAGAGGAGAGAGAGAGAGAGAGAGAGAGAGAGAGAGAGCGAGAGAGAGAGGAGAGAGAGAGAGAGGAGAAGAGAGAGAGAGAGAGAGAGAGAGAGAGAGAGAGAGAGAGAGAGAGAGAGAAGAGAGAGAGAGAGAGAGAGAGAGAGAGAGAGAGAGAGAGTGCGGAGAGAGAGAGAGTGCGGAGAGAGAGAGTGCGGAGAGCGGGAGTGCGGAGAGAGCGGGAGTGCGGAGAGAGCGGGAGTGCGGAGAGAGCGGGAGTGCGGAGAGAGAGAGAGGAGTGCGGAGAGAGAGAGGGAGTGCGGAGAGAGAGGGAGTGCAGAGAGAGAGGGAGTGCGGATAGAGAGAGACAGGGAGTGCGGAGAGAGAGAGGGAGTGCGGAGAGAGAGAGGGAGTGCGGAGAGAGAGAGGGAGTGCGGAAGAGAGAGGGAGTGCGGAGAGAGAGAGGGAGTGCGGGGAGAGACATGCGCGTAGGAGATAACCTACAGCGACGAGCAAAAATTGGTAGATGACAGACAGACGGGCCCCCGACCGATAGCAACCGGCGGGGTCTGGCCAACGTCAGGGCACGTTCGTCTGGTCTGGTCTGGCCAACGTCAGGGCACGTTTGGGGCGCAGAAGGGACGGTCACGCAAGGACTGTGTCGGAGTCGCCCCTCCCTCCCCAAACCCCATCACGTGGCAGGGCCAGCCAACACCAGGTCCTCGCACTCTCGTCAGATGCATCACAGCTCGGAGGCTCGACATTGGGAAGGACGTCGCGAATCATGTCTGAGACTACAGCCAAGAATAGAGAAATCGACGACACCGGTACGATGCAAATAACACTAACATCCTAACATAATACTAACATCCTAGTCTCTCTCCAGTGATGACATGGGGAGACTTCAACCACGGGTCAAAAGCACCACCAACGCCCGAATTGAATAAAAATGATTCCTGAGGTGAAAGCTGCTGTGGCGACCATCACGTTCGGCAAAAAAAAAACTGGGCCGAACTGAACACAACAGGCGCAAATGGATTACCGCCCAACACGAGATAACACACTTCAACGGAATAGAAAGGTTGGGTCAATTTCCGTTCGCATCACGGGGGAGGCGCATTTGGTACATTGTTCAGACAGCTATGGGCGTCCTAGATACAGACGCCTTCCTTTTAGTTAAATCTGAGGGCTAATATATGACGCGATTTATCTCCTTCCCATCCAAAACCGCAAGATGAACTCAATCAACGCGTCAGTGCTTCGAGCTGCAGGGGACGGAGCAGGCGGAGAGGAAACGGCCGTGGAGGAGATCAGATGGAGATCAACGCGTGCGGAAAGAAACGTGCGCGACGAGAATAACCTACAGGGACCTACAGTCTACCCAAACCTAGCAGATGCACGCGCGGCCAGTGCAAATGTCCCCTTCACCGTCGGGGGACGCACTAAGCCTGTCGCTCGCGCCGTTCCACGCGGCCGGCCGGGACCCAGCTGCGGCCGCCGCCGCTGAGCGCGAGGAAGACCACTGCCGCCGGTGACGGTCACACAGGGCCGGGTCACAACGCACACCGCGCTGTGTTCACCTCTAGATAGCATGATTAATGTTCTCCTCGGTTCTGCTGGAGTTTCGCCTCCAAATATCATGGTCAGTATGCTGGTGTACTACGCTTGGGAATGCCAAAAATGGGCGGCGTTAACATGCCAGCTATCTTGTCAGCAAAACGTGCTTATGGCACATCTGGTTGGAACTACTTAGAGGTACTGTTTTTTTCAGTGTTCCGTAAATATGTTGCCGATTGAAATGGGGCTATTATTACACTGGTATCCGGTTTACCCGAAGGAGAAGCTTCGACCAACTTCCAAGTTGATTACGCCCACGCCCAGCACCACTCATTTGAATATGTAAAACATCAGCATACATGCGGCGCAGGCAGCATTGTTTGCTCTGCCACATCCACTCATGAAGCCGAGATTTGACAAAACAGTTTTGTACGCTTCATTAAAGAATGCTCTTTTCATGACCGCAACAGACGTAAGAAAATAAGTGTTTTGCTGACCGCTGATATAAACCACCAGAAATGTCGCTCAGATCGCAGTTGTTAAATCCATTTTGTCGGCCTTAACGTGTTCAAATTGCAGCCTTCAGATAGGATCTGTATCCCCAGCATTGACCATGACCTGACCAACCGTGACCTCCTCTTGGTACGAGATTCTCCATAAGCATGGACTCATGCGCTAGAAAAGTACAATAAATCTTCATAACGTGGCACCGGAGTCGTTAAAGTGCACACACTTTGCAAGACACCCGTTGCTTTCGGAATTATTTGACAAGAGTGGTCCGTTTGCATGTCTCGCCGCAGCGTAGCATGCAGCCCGACATGCTGTGCAGCGTATGCATATGCATAAACCCGCCGAATGTGGCCTATCGCCCCAGCCATCAGCATGAACGGACTGACTGAACCTATTCATAGCAAATGACATGCAACAGATATCACACATTCAAAAGGACGAGTGACAAGATTATTTATGGCGCTCACTTCATGCACGGCAGCTTGATTGGTCGTCACGTGGAAAATATCGTGACGCGGTGGCACACGATGTGACGCAATAGCCGCATTTTGTTCGGCTGCCGCTCGGAAGCACGTGCGTGTCCGTAAAGCGTCCACGTCCACGACACCAAACGGGAATGTTGTCCGTCTCTTTAAGCTGTCACTGAGCGAGGCTTTCAGCATTATGACCACTACCGTGACTTCTGCATATCTCCTCCTTTTCCGATGTATTTCTCGCGAGTGCGGCGGCGTGCGGCGTCGCCTCACTGACGCTGCCGACGCCGACCGCGTTTGCGGCCGTGGGTGACGGCGCTGCGCCGCCGACTGACCTCAACACTGAAGTAGAGCACCTCCCTGGTGAGCAACTGGACGGCCACGTATCGACGAGTGCTGGGCAGCGGCTCGGAGCAGGAGGGAGCTGGCGAAACTGCCGAGTGGCGCATGGCAGGTGACCGCGCCCCGGCCCCACCTGGGCATAGCAGGTCACCTGCGCCACCGCCTGCGGCACGGGAGAGCAAGGGTCACACGAGCCACATACATGTCCGGGCAGCGAGACGCGACATCGACGGCCGCGTGGCGTGCTGATGGGGGTGGCGTCAAACCCCGCAGATGGCGTGCTCTATATGGATATCATGCATTACAATTGGTCAATTGCTCACGGCACCGGCATGCAACAAAGCCTTTAAATGTCTACACTCCTTGCCATTAAGCTTGTCACGTTTTACCCACACTGAACAACGAGTGCAAAGGTGAGTTATTCGTCTGCGCAAAAGCTGGTGGATACCGAGCACGCCTATACCAAGCACGCCTACACCAGCCACGCCTATACCAACCGCGCCAATTTATTTAAGGATTTAAACATGGGCAAGAAACAAGCTTGTGGTGGCACGTGACCCGCAAGATACAAACAACACATCAGTTTACCCACATCACTGTGGTGAATCATCGTGCCACGCATTCACCTCATGCTCTACATCCCCCATCTCTGCAACTGCACAAGATGTGTGTTCATTTCCACCCTCCCAGCAGCCTCATTCACACACCCGTGGCCGCCGTTCTCCTACCCAGCACGCAGGCCCCGCGCTACCCGCCCGCCGCCATCGGTCGGCGGTCGGTGGTGGTGCTCTCTCGCTCACGCGTTCCGCCCGAACCCGCCGTCCGCTTGCTACAGTTCAGTAGCTGCCCATAACCTCCAACCACACCGACCCGGCCGGCGGGCGTGCGTGCGCCGCGGCCGCGCCCATCGCGTCTACGTCGGTTGGCCGCTCAGCTGATACATTTCAGTAGGTGCCCATAACCCCGACGGCAATGGGAGCGGAACGTGACGGCGATAAACACGCCGGCGCTGCCCAGGAAAAGTGCTGCCCTTTCTCCAGCACTAACTGGTCCACGGATCTCACCTGGAGTTTGTCACAGGAAATGTGCTGCATTCACGCATTCTTATCATTTATGAAATGGTTTCGGCAATTTAACAAAAGGAATGCGTGTCATTAAGGCAGCTACGTTTTACCTCGCGATCCTTTGTTATTACCGACGTGGGACCGAGTACAAGCAGCAGTCCAGGCCGCAAGGGGTCAAACAAGAGCGAAGTAGCATCCACTCTTTACCAAACCGCTGTCAGGAAGGCCGTCGAAACGATCGCGTTCCAACAGTCTGCTAACATTGATTCAAATTCCTCCCTTAATGAAACACGAAGGTTTGCACATGCTAACTGTGATGCAGGGAGATTACACGCGGCATAGATGATATAAAAAGCAATATTCATAAAAATGATTGCAGCCCTGATTTAACCGACAAACGAAGATGGTATTCACGATAAGGTGCATAGTAGTGTGGAATTCCCGGGAATTCCGACATTGGGTCACCCCTGCCCAATAAAAAACAACAAGGTATGCGTTCATTTGATCGATAATTTTCCGCATTCCAGAACGCCGAATCCAACGATATTTCGGAAACTTATGAATATCATATACGTGGACACCGTGCGCACCAGTGGTCATAGCGGACAAAACATAGAAAGCAGGGCACAAGGTATGAACCACACAAAATAAGATTCCGATAACGGTAGTACACATTTGCAGCAGCTTATAAGACAAAAATGGGGCCATTGCAGGTGGAGGAACGCGGTTATAACATTTTCTAAGCACCTCCACCTTCTGCCCTATTGCGAGCATCGGACTGTTCTGACAATGCCACATAAACGCGGTTGGAACATATAGATGAAAATTCAAGGAGACAGAGCAATAACTGAAGACTGTAAACGCAAGACTGCAAAAACTGATCAGAGATGACAGTCGAGAAGCCAAACTATTCTGCTAGCTTGCGCATCAATCCTTTACATTTGGTTTCTCCGCCATTAGAAGCCAACTGGCCCCGACCCTCCATGCTGGCAGCAGTTGGATTTGGACGCCTCCCCCACCAGTTTGGGTGCCTCCTGCAGTGGATTTGGGGCGGGAGGCTGGAAGCACGTCACGTGTGGTGGTTGGTGGTCATGTCCGCACACCCACCCACCCACACCCACATCCACACCCCCACCCAGAGCTACAGCCTGGAGCCAGCGCCCCGTCGCACGGGAGCGTCTGGACAGCGTCCGGGTACACGGAGGCGCCTGAAACCAACGTCCAGACACACCCGAGTGTACGGAACCATCGCCCGCGCCGGCCAAGAGTTTAAGGGTCACCAATGCCGGTCACGGGTACCATACGCAGCCCAAGGCCCACGTGCGAGTGCAGGCAATCAACGTCAGGTACGCAGAAGTGTGTGGAATCATCAGCCACGCAGACGGCCGGCCTCCGGAGTCCCATTCAGACCTACGGTGGGCGTCAAGAGAACTCGGTCTAATCCAGTCATGTACGGATTTCAAGGTCAAAATGAGGTCAGTATTCGAAAAGTGAACCTGAGGTTCGACTTTTTGGTGAATTCCTGGAGGCACGATAATATGTTTGGTTACCTCTTCCTAGCCGTCACCTACGGGCTTATATACCCATATAGGTCTAACGCTAAAATTTCGTGGCAGCGCGGGTGTATGAACCCATCTCTCCTTAGCATATGGAACAGGTCAGTGTCGGAAGCCACCTCGCAGGCTTGCGGCAGGTTTTGTCGCAGCCCCGGCCCACAATCAACGTCGGATTCGCACGCCACTTCGTGACGAATGTTTCGCTCTCCCACTTTCACAGGCGGGTAACATTTTCCTTGTCGTCCTGCCGACTTCGAAGCATGAGGCGGCTAAGAGCAGCCAGCGGCTGCAATCCTGCCCCGCAGCAGGATCCCCGACCGTCTCGACCCCGCCGCATCTCCACCCGGGGTGATCTCCGACCCGGCTCAAGCGGGGGTTTGCCATCCCTCGCCAGAGGAGCGGCCCCCGCTCCTCTGGCGTGGCCGCCCCTCTGGCGTGGCCGCTCCTCTGGCGTGGCCGCTCCTCTGGCGTGGCCGCCCGTCTGGCGTGGCCGCCCGTCTGGCGTGGCCGCTCCTCTGGCGTGGCCGTTCCTCTGGCGTGGCCGCCCGTCTGGCGTGGCCGCTCCTCTGGCGTGGCCGCCCGTCTGGCGTGGCCGCCCGTCCGGCGTGGCCGCCCGTCCGGCGTGGCCGCCCGTCTGGCGTGGCCGCTTCTCTGGCGTGGCCGCCCGTCTGGCGTGGCCGCTCCTCTGGCGTGGCCGCCCCTCTGGCGTGGCCGCTCCTCTGGCGTGGCCGCCCGTCTGGCGTGGCCGCCCGTCTGGCGTGGCCGCTCCTCTGGCGTGGCCGCTCCTCTGGCGCGGCCGCTCCTCTGGCGTGGCCGCCCGTCTGGTGTGGCCGCCCGTCCGGCGTGGCCGCCCCTCTGGCGTGGCCGCCCCTCTGGCGTGGCCGCTCCTCTGGCGTGGCCGCCCCCTGGCGTGGGTGTTCGCTGGCGGAGCGGGATGAGCCGGAGGACGCCGGCCTGCGTCGGGCTGGCAACGGACAGAGGAGGCCGGCAGAAGGGCACCCGGCCCGCCAGCCACCTGCCACGCGAAATGCCGGCCGCCGAGCCGGGCGTCGGATCGCCGGCGCACGGGCGTGTTTGTTGGCCGATGCAGGGCGCGGCACGCCCCCGTCACAGGCACGGCCACCATTTCGAAATCGGAGTCATCACGTCAAATCGGTCGCGAAGACAATGGTTAGCGGTCCTTTGTCGACGTCGGATGGCTGGCCCTGTTCCCAAACAACGGCGCCCGAACGTAATTACCGCCATTGTGGTGAAAGTACTGCCACGTGACGCGGTCGCGGCGGGAAGGGAGAAGCATTCGAGAACACCCAAAGCAACGACAGAAAATGGAGGCCGACGATGCCCACGATTTTCGGGCTGCTCTTGAACACGACTGGTGTTACGTTAGGCACTTGGAGCATATACATAGACATGTGCTGGGTGGGGGCACTAACACTGCTGACACTGGATGCTATGCCCACAGCTCCTATTGTTCTGTGCTACACATCCTGCCATTCTGCATTCTGTGTCTAAATGGTCAGTCAGTTGCTTCTTGCTTTGCTCTGTATTGTTTTACCCGATGTAAGCAAAACACTTATTAAGCCGCTGGTTGCTTCACATCGTGACTTTTATGTTGGTAATAAATAGCATGTATCAGGGGAAGCTTCGAAATTATTATAGCAATACTGCCAGGTTACCACTCAATACAGTCATGTTAGCAAAGTCATCCCTGCATGCGGTTGGGCTTTCGTGGAATCTACTGGGCCTGGGCCTGGGGCTTGACGGCGCATTCCTTGGCCTCACTCCCGGCGGCATCCGCCCCCGAGGCGATCCCACCGTCAGCGAGGTTCGCGTAGGGAGCGATAACAAAGAATGTCAAAACCAAGGTCTGAGCAAAAGTTGAGAGAAAGGCTGCCGCCGCCCCATTGAAAAAGCACACCACACTGCATCCCCGCCTCCACCCCATCGCCCCCTGCGCACCTGTCAGTGCCCGGCTAATGACAGCGAATAACAAAACTCCCCTCGGCCCCTTTCGCGCCTATCAATGCTGTGTCCATTGTGGCCGTCCCCTCTCCGGCTCTTCCGGAGGCGTCCGCGAGCCGCCCGCCGACGGGCGCACAGAGCCCCGCGAGCCGCCCGCCGACGGGCGCACAGAGCCCCGCGAGCCGCCCGCCGACGGGCACACAGAGTGCGTGCGTGCGTGTGCGTGCCTGGCTGTTTCGCAGGTGCCGGCGGCCGCCCGGGCCCGGCTAGGCCGACGGACGCCGAGCAGGGCGGGACAGCAGCGCCGCAGGACGGGCGCGCCCGGCGACCAGCAACGTTGGGAACTCACAGTCAGAGCGTTGTCATGAATTGAGCGTAGTCGACTAGGCCAGGGCTAAGACGAATGACAAGTCTGGCGTTTCGTCATTCCCTACTGAAATCGGCGTGCGAGACTGCGAAGCCAAATGATCAAGGCGGTTGGTTGGGTGCGTCACACAATATGCCGGTTTGGGATTAAGTCGGGCGACGGTAACGACCTGTTTCCTTGCGTGCCGTCCAGTGCAGCGATCGTTGCGGCATCCCAACGCGTGAGGGAAAACCCACGAGCTCGCCTAGCAGTTTCAAGCCGCGAGGTGCCTGACCGGGAGCCGACCAGGCGTGTTCGAGCTCCACCGGCGTGTCTCGGAGCCGGCACCCACACCGAGGCGCCGCGCCGCACCATCACCGAAGAGATTTACACGAGCGAGGCCCGCGGCCGGTTACATATCCGGGACGGTTCGGGCTGAAGAATTTCAGCTGAACGGCGGACGGGTGATTTAGGCGCGCCGCGGCAGCGAGCGGCGCTCCGTCCGCCCGACTTGACCGGCCGCTGGGAGTCGACAGTAATTAGAGATCTGTCTGGCGAAGCAAGTAATGCGATGCTTGTTGATCAAGGACCTACTTTACGGATGTAAGTGATACTTGCAGACCGGCCCGCGGCCTACAGACGTCCAGGCAGCCGATCGTCTCGAATCTTCCAATCAATCTATCCATAGTTTATAAACCATCAAAGATGATCTATACCCATTTTGTGCCTTTAATATCTCCAATGTGGCCATCTTTCAGGCGGGCGTCATTAGGCTAATACCTGGGCATTATGAGATGAAATATAACGCATAATTGTCGAGTGGCGCGGTAGAAGGCGCCTCCTGCGAGTCTGGCAGCCAGCGGCCGGTGCCGCTTGAACGGGACGGCCCCCTCGGGCACAGCCACGTGCCGCAGCTAGGTCAGTGGTGGAGGGGGGGGGGGTCAGGCGGGGTCAGGGGTCACCGGGCAGGACCCCGCTATAGGGGGTGGCGAGGCGGAGTCGGGGCTCCATTGACAGTGGAGAAGAGGCGTTGTAGCCCTGACGATGGCAGGAGATAGACTGGAGGTACCAGTTGTCAATGAATCAAATGGGAGACAAGCTGCGAGAGGAGGCGCGGCGGGGAACAGCATCAAGCGAGCTCTCCGCCACTTCAGCTCGGCATTCTCGATCGGGGCGAGTCCCGTGCACGACATCTGAACCCAAGACCCTTTTCAGTCTCGCACCCGAAGGCTGGTCGATTCAAGGGCCCCAGCTCGAAGCGCAGGCATCCCCACAACACCTCACTTTCCTGTAGTTCGGACGCATGAGTCACTGCTGCACAGAAGCGTCTCAGGTCCGTCTGAGCACATTGCGAACTTGTTGCGGATTGGCAGACGGTCCATTTGGGGCATAACGGCTCGGAAGTGGCCCGGTTACGTCAGCGACGATCAAGTATGCAAGCGCCACCATTCATGAATGCCGAATACGTTGCCCCCATCGGCGATCGTTGCATGACGAAATTCGACCTGACTGCATCCGCCCCCCCCCCCTTCCACGTCAGCGGCACTGTCAGGACGGCCGTTTGTCGGACCGCATGGCGAACCGGGCGGCGAGCGCGGTGCGAGCTCGCGCGGCCGACGATGTAATGGATGACCCGGCTGCAGACGTGCGCGGTCTTCGCCGGTACAAAACGGCCGCGGCCGACTCTGGCTCACGCGCGTCAACAATGCATTGACCCGTCGGCTGTAAGTCACCGGATGACACGCACGCACGCACGCAAGCAGGTAATGGGTGAAAGTGTAATTAATTCTACGGCCGGTGTGCGCGGCCGACAAAGCGGCGCTGCGGTCACCCGTAACAAAGCCGGAGTCGGGCCGCGCTGGCTCGTCGCAAAGCCAGGGTCGGAGGAATCCAGACCGACGGCCGACTCCAGGGGCCCGGTATGTCGGCACCTGCAGGCTGGCCGGGTAAAATGCGCCACTCATGGCCACTCATGCACTTCTATAGACGTCAGCTGAATCATAGTGTGCATTAAGGTACCGCGGTTAGACCCTGGCTTCCTTTCGGCGGTAGTTGGACATTCAACGCCACAAGGCAGGTGCACTTGTCTTTAATGACATTCTACGGTTGCCGGGCCTTGGTATCGACATTTTTCAGGAGCCCCGCCTCCTCGGGTACTGTTTTGCTGTAAGGTATGTGCCGCACAGACTCCCAGACCAGCCAGTGAGTTCGAGGGCATCAACTGCCATGGGGTCACCTGATATAAAAACGGCTCTTTGCGCCCCTCCGGTGGTTTGGCTGGCCTCACGTTCTGCGAGATCCGCCGTGGTACTACTTTCCGGAAATCACGCCGTTCCTTGTTTTTGGCTGGCGTCGCCTCTGCTATCGTATGTTTTGATCGGATAGGCTAATAGTAAGCCGACCAGTCACGCAACCAGAACACTGCTGCACGCGGCATCACAATTCAGAGGCGTACCAAAGGCAACATTCTCAAGGGCGGCACATCCCCTGAAATCCGCGACCCCCACGGGAACCGACAGCCACAGAACGAAACAAGTCCATAGAAAGTGGTCCAAAGCTCCAAGTGCGCGTGTGACGGCCGAGAAAATATTGCACATCATCCTTAAACCTGAAGGGCCCAGACCCAACGGGTTTTCACACCCACATGTATCATTTCATACTCAAATGTACTTTGGAAGCTCATGGAATCAATTTGATATTGGCGGTTTCTCGCCCTCACGGGAAGACCTGAGCGGAGCTACGAAAATGACGTTCCAGTGACGCATCTGGGAAATAATGTACGTCCAAAATAAGGCAGCGACATTTTCTGGCACGTGAACAGTAGTGGCATTATAGTTTCTACACAATCATGAGATCTCAGCCATGACGTTAAGTCAAGGCATTTCGGCTTGCTGGCTATTGTTTTTCGGAGGCTCCAGGGTGGCACCAATCAGTGATGCCGAACATCACACAGCCCAGGTTTAGACGCCTGAAGCCTTCGTGACATTGGGTATTGAATAATGTCAGATTTCAGAACACCTTTGGTCAATTTGGGCGTGCATGGGAATGACCTCCACACGTTGTAAAAAAGGGAGCGTCGTGCCTTATCCGGTCGGATTTCCCAAATATCGCTGAGCACCTGGCTTGCAACAACATTTGACCTAAAGACTTTCCGAACGTAAGGTTTTAGGTCGATTAAAAACGATGCCCTGCACTTAAATGGCCGCTTTGCCAGCACAGGACATTTCTGACGAATGAGGTCACGTACAAATGCCAGGCTCGGTTCGGCTACAACCGTTGTTCCTATCCCCATTACAGGATACGTTGGCGGGATTGACTCCGGCTCCCTCTGGTGGAAGGAATCCTGGGCACGCTACACCGCATCACATTCTGTGACATGCGGAATTACTTGAAGCTTAAACCCAGTGAGTGGATTTGATGGCATTTAAGCTTTGCATTCCCCGCATTCTCACACGCTTGATCCGCGGTGGGGCTCAACCTCAGACGAGCGGAGATTCGTGTGCTGGCAAGCCACACTGAACGTGCGAACGCTGAAGCGTTGGGACAACCACCCGCACAGGTAGTGGCGGTCCGGATAAATTTCACTGGAGTTCAATCTGCATCTATCATATTCTCTATGGGCAAAACGAAGACACTGCCCAAGAGCTGATGGGTCCCGACTCCACCCATACCGGCCACGATCACGGCGGTGAGCTGGTGGGATGCAAATGCGCGTATTTAATCTGCAGCGAAATCCGCGAACGTTCGGCACACGTCTCCATTGCGTTTCCAATGAGTGGGGACGTGCAATCGGTATGCGCATATCCTTGCCAAGTTGATGGGCCTTGGCGGCATAAGACAAAGCTTCGCAGAGCCGGACATCGCGCACTAGTGACGCCCCAATATCATCCGCTTGATCTCCGGAAGATGGAGCAGATCACAATCATCAGTCGCAGCCACGGACACAAGTTATGACTGAATGTAGCTCAGGGCAAATCCATTACGATGAGGCCTACACAGCCATCACACAATGGTACGTAACGCTCAGCACGTTACGTAGCGACAATATTCCTATGAAATCCTGCCACGCACATTCGCCTTTCCCTAAATCCCGCTTTCGTACCCGGCGTCCGCGCCCACCCCGTCGGTCCGGGCCATATGCCGGCGTCCGGTCGGGGTCGGCGCCGCCGCCGCGTCGGCCGGCTGGCGGTGACCGGGGGGGCCAACAGGTGTGCTCCGCTCACCTGTGTACGTCCGCCCAGCGGCGGCCGGCCGCCATCCCCGGCCGCGCTCCCGGTCCAAGCTGCGTCTCTCGCTCGTATCGCCGCGCACGGCTCGCGCGCGCCGCACACCACTGCCGCGCACCGTCGCGCCGACCGCACTAACCCGCCATGGCGCTGCCCACCCTACGGTAACGAATGGCCTTTCTTGGCGCTGCGGAATGCGATGTGGTAAGCCGGCGCCGTAGCCTCCGCGCGGGGCGCCGCATTCTCGGCCAATCGGTACGGCCTCTGACAGAGCGCGAACCGCTGTACGCCGGAATGCCGGCTGGCGTCGCGCGACTCTGGGGAGACCGTCTCTGACAGAGGAGGGAGAGGTTAGCGAGAGGGCCGCCGGGCCGGAGCGGCCGCCTTCTGGAGCGCGTTCTGCACGCCTCTGACGTACAGTATCGGTTCCATTCAAGGCAGCCGTGCGAAGGCTGACGAGAGCTGAGACATCCCCGAACGTCTTGGCGGTCTGCAGCTGCCAACTTCAATCCCGCAGGCTCAAGGGTGCCGGCTGCAAAGACCGCGCCGTACTTTTGTCGGGTTTCTAAAAGTAATGGCTCGAAGAGCTTAAACTAGAATTCACAGATGTGCATTCTACCAGCACACACACACACACACACACACACACACACACACACACACACACACACACACACACACACACACACACACACACACACACACACACACACACACACACACACACACACAAATATCGACAAAGCGCGAGTCGGGTTTGAGAATTGCACGGGGCGCCGCCGTTGACACGAAAGTCCGCATAGATCGCTGTCAAGCCGTTTAAGCGTCATGCCCGGGCTCCGTAGCAGCGCAGTAAGCAGCGTTCTTACGCATGTGGTGCACTGAAGCCCGAAGCCTTCGGGGGTTGTGACATGGCTGACTGTAGCCTCTTGTGCACATCACGTCCCTGGTGGTCTGTGGCCACCCTGCCCTCTGGCCGGTGGCAGAGGTACTAAAGGTCAGGTGACATCAAAGGGCAGAGCGGACTTTGTCAGGCTTTGCGGCCTGTCGAACTTTCACCACAAAATTCTTCCGCTGACCTAAAACTTTTCGATCGTGTGGTGGGAGCAGGGCTTGCGCAACAAGCCCAGCATAGCATGAGGTCTGATCCTAAAAATTCATTCATTCAAAAGATTCAGAATATTTTTTGTGTGAAAAATATCCAAGGGCAACATCACCATCGTAAAGACAGGAACGAGTTCCCACTGAAACCTTGAAATACCGAAATCGGAATACCCCGAAATCTTAACATTTAGCATTGCATCTACGACGTTGCATCGTTGCAAATGCCGTCCGTCCCATAATTATTATCTAAGTCGTTAGAGACATGATGGCTGCGGAGCGCAACAAATGTCACACGTGACGGGTTCGGGGGCGCAACAAATGCCACATGTGCTTGATTCGGCGCGCAACAAATGCCACACGTGCTGGATTGGGGGCGCAACAAATGCCACACGTGCTGGATTCGAGGCGCAACAAATGCCACGCGTGATGGGCTCGGAGCGCAACAAATGCCACACGTGCTGGATTCGGGGCGCAACAAGTGCCACACGTACTGGATTCGGGGCGCAACAAATTCCACACGTGCTGGATTCGGGGCGCAACAAATGCCACACGTCCTGGATTCGAGGCGCAACAGCTACATGGAGTCGAATCCCATCTCGGCGTCGCATTTCGAGGGATGCTTGACCGCCGAGTAGTCGTGTCGTGACATTGCATGACACATCAAAACAATGCATAGCACCGAGTGACCTTCGTGCCATAGCAAAATTGATTCATGTCTTAGATCACTTCAATGGCGGACTCAGTGTCCACGCTGAGCTATAATATTAAGCGAGTGCTTTGGTCCTATCGCCATTCGAGCCAACACACCGGCATGCAGCTTGGAAATTAGGTGGGGTGTGCCTTGTGTAGAAAGGCAATGCTCATCCCGTCTATCGTTTCATAAAACTCACACTGATTTACTGTATTACTTTATTGTACTGATTTGCTGTTTACTGCTGTGAAAAGAGGGTTAACAATGTAGTTAAAGGGAGTGTTCCACATTTAAGTGGGGTTTTGAGATGAAATAACAATCTTGAAAACCTTTCGGTGCTGTAAACAATCCTGACCTTCTTAAGACCTAAGCCACTCTAGTTTCTGAGTTACACGCCTACGAAAATGGGGAAAGGCATTCATGACGTCATAATAACGTCATTCAAATCCTGCCATTCCGTAAGTCATGGGGCGATCAATGCCAAGAAAATACCATTATCGAGGCTTCCATATCTGACGTTCGTGAGCGCAATTTCCAGACATAGTGGCCATCAGGTGGCTGCCAATCAGTGTTCTGCAAGGCACGATGTAATCAAACCTGACGCATTTAGGACCATATTTATTAAGCACAGAACTGCGCTTCCTAGAGCGGTCTTTTCCACTAAAAACGTTGCCCAGTAGTTATAACTGAGCTTATTTCAACGTATCTCAGGCTTGCTTTATTATCTTCGAATGTAAAACATTCCCTTAAAGTGTAGAGCTGGACATGACAATATGGAATGTGTGAATGTGAGAAAGGTAAACTGGCATTGAAAAGTTCACGACTTGTAACCCAACTACAAAACGCTGATGCTTTGTGGGGAAAGTAATAATATAAATAGAATAGAAAAATAGTCCTTGATATATTTTTCGGGGGTGGTTTGCTGTGCTGTGATTCGGGATCAGGTGCTAAGCCCGTCATGGTTCTTTTTTTGAAAAATCAGATGTTAACTTTATCTTGTTGACGTTCCTGATGTTTCGGGTGTTGATAATGTGTATGACCAGTGATCGCATATGACCAGAGATCGAGTTATCATGGGGAGTGTAAGGAGAGAGTGCCCAGACCCAAAGTACCTAAGATCCGGCGATCTGCTGAATACAGGGGAGTTTTGAAAGAACGGAACAAGGACGACATCTCAAATAAAGAGCAGTGTAACGATTTTACGGCACTCCCAGGTTGCCTACCCAACGCACGACAATTCCGTTATCCGTTCACAAACATGTGGTAACAACAAAATAAAGAGTGGTTCTCTCCTCGTCCCCCACTTGTATACGTTCTCGGTCTCACGTCTTGCTTCATTACAGCCGCCAGCAGAGCAGAAAGCGAGTGGTACAGCAGCTTCTTTGGGGTTTGCGGTTGTTTAATATATTGCCTACAGCTTCGGTATGTCACCACCTTTGACCACCAATGAACGTGGTCTATAGCACCGAGCTGCTGCCAGTCTGGATCAGCCTAGAGAACACCCAACCCATGCAGCCATAACCATTGAAATGTTTACACAAGCCAATCGTGATCGCTTTCTTCACACGGCATCGCTTGCGGTACGCCAGTGGGGCCGGACCCGGAGGTGAGCACAAGATCGGCGAGAGTTGCAGCAGCCACACATGCACGTTCGTGTGGCGTCGATGATTAGCCGCTGGAGTGACAGGTCATGGAGCATATCCATGCATATGCTTCCTCACGTCTGGGGGAAGTTGGCTGTGTCACATCAAGATTTAGCAGAGCTCCAGTTGCCCAAGGTATGCACTGAGGCGGGAAGGCCGGCTTCCGAGTTCCGGGCCTGTAATGCCTGCAGCCGGATGCCTCTAAGTCTCCGTGAGTGTTCGCGCGCGTTCCTTGCATCGCGTGTGTTCGAATCGCTGCCGGAAAGCAGCAGATGCCGCTCGGGCCATGAACTCGAGCAGAGTGTGCCTTGGGCAGTATATCTGGTCAGACTTTGTCCTTTTAAGGCTGCTTGCTCCTTATGTCGCACGCTTAATGCGTATAGGTGCATGCACATCAGGCTTTTTAGCATTGCTGTCTTAGTCGGAATTTACTGGGATATTTATCATGTTTTATTTGCTTAATTGAGATTACGACACGCACAACAGCACCGGAATTCATCAATCGATCTGACTAATTCAAATGAAAGTTGCGCAATACAACATCGTAATCGTGCGATCCCAGAATCGGAAGACTCCTATGCATGTTAATTTAGTTAGCCTTCAAGCTGTAGACCATTTTTAGAGGCCAGGTTATATGTCGTAATTGTTCAAAAATTGTTAAAAACTGCTAGTCTCACAATTCAATAATTATTGGTTGCCTTATGACAACAAATCTGATCTATGGTGATGTTACGACGAGATAGAGCTGAACTAGGTGAGCTGAAATGTTCGTCACATAATAAATACATATAAACACACTTTACTGGCCCAGTACCATTTCGGGCAAGGCCATATAGGAAGGTGTAGACGGCTTTGTGCTCCATAGAGGTGTCCATGCGCACCATTACTGTGGCGCTGTGCGTGATCCAGGACAATAATTATCAGTACTTTGGAGGTTTGAGGACTCAACTGACGTCTGAAGTCTATGTAAACTTTGAATGCCAGCTGAGTTAGAGAGTCAGTCGGAGAGCAGAGTCCCAGCATCCTTCGCGCCGAAACCTCCCGGTCGAGAACCGCGCTCAAATCTCACGACTGTCCCAACGGGGAGTGAGGGCAATGTTCTGCCAACGGGCTTCGCCGTTGCCGTAGATGCATGGTACCTTTAACAAATTATGTATATTCCCGTTGCATCGGCAATATATGGTACGGACAGTATGATACCCACTGCCAAGCATGTGCTGAAGGTCCTGTGTGCACCCGAGGTTATGTTGGGTCAAGAAGTCTATTGTGTCGCCCTGACCTCAGTGCGAACCTCCGCAAACATTCCCTGGGCCTGTTTCTGCGACCAGTTTATAAAATACACCAACAGGCACTGTCCCGTCTGGTAATCGTGTACAGGATGTAGCCATTAAATTTTGCATTATATTGGAGTATCTTAGGATGTCCCGTGTGGGCTACGGTCCCAAATCATCATGAATGAATGCGAATTAAGCCCATGCTTAGAACCGTTCACAGTATTTGATTGCATTGACGACATTTTGTCGTTGACTAGAACTCCGCAGCCTTATTTGAACTGTTGCAAGTTTGTAATACAGCACACCGCTCCTCAGCGAAATGGACTATCCATATGCAGTGTTCAGACGTAAAAAGAGTTCGAAAACGAATTCGATTACAAGACGTTGCTTTGTGACGTCATCGTCA